AGTCCCTGATCTGATATGGTCTGCCCTATGATTATCGTATGCAGTTGCTTAATCTTATTCGGATTGGTCATATGTCCCATGTGCATATGTGCGCTTTGACATTATTCACTGATCGCTTGTTCGTTTGATTGAATGGTGAACTCTCTCGTTTACACCTTGGTTCTCCATTGGCATTGCTTATTTCGCCTGTGAACGCCACGATTTGAGGTGTGTTGTTTATGGAATTGTAACATTCCATATTTACAGTACCGCATACTTATTCGCTTTTGTTGAAGACGAATAAACCTCTAGAACACTTGGACTTGGCTTCTGAGGATGCGCGTCACTCAACGTTGGCCTGGATAAGCATTTAGATTTAAAAGTTCTCTACACTAAGGTACCAAGAACTCCTAATTTTACCTGTTTCATCACCTTGGTAGCAACATGGGCACTGATAGAACTGTCTCTAAAGAACTTCTATTTCGAGGTTGACTCTCGTGCTGCTGGGAACATTCCTCTACGTCTGAGCTAGTTGTGAATCATTAATGATTAAAATTAATTCTTATTTACCGTAAAATCTCCTAATTATATTACAATTTCCTTTTTTATGTAGGCACAATTGTTGATGGCACATAACGATAAAAGAGCGAGGATTGCCAGTAAGTAGTTGAGAAAATTTATAAACTTTTTGACAAAATATATGTTCTGTGTGTACAGTCTGTGAGGTCTCCGCATACCCCGAGCACAATATTCTACCGCAGTAATTCCAATCACACATGCTCAAACACCAGTAATACTGCATAGAAGCAAAGTTCGTTAGAGAAAACCGTGAAGTCAAAAATGGCATAATTGACAACGGAATTCGTCGAAATACATGAGAATCGAGGTCTGTAACAGAGCATAACTCAGTTTCCACTGACGTAAATGATGGCCAAACTCCCTATTGAATAATAAGATATGCCAGAAGGAAGACAGACCTCTGATAGTCTTGAGTCCTTCCTCACCAATCCACACCACTTGGTCATGATAAGAATTTTTGATAAAATCGAAATCCGTTGAATGACTGTCTTTTTCTACGCTTTTTAGCTGATAAATGTAACTGGTTAATGATTGGGCAGTTTCGAGATATTAGAATTTAGCGGTATTTTCAAAACAACAAATAAAACTCATCTTCTGAACATGAAGAAATTAAATCTTTTTATGACAAATATATCAAGAATCTTTGGGCTTCATTAAAGCGTATATTGCTCTTAAAGTTTATAATAGCATTTTGATTAGTGTGATTCTCATGAATGGTTTCTATTTCCTTACTTTTTTTAAGAGATCATCGTTCATTCTTCATAGGAAGGCAATTCATAGCATCGAACCGATCTTCAGTAAATAGCTATAAAATGGACCAGACTCCACTTTTAACAACTCGATTGAGATCTGTTTAGTGTGGTGAACCTACTGTTCAGGTATAATGACAGAACTCTTCATAATCTGGTCGCTGGAGCCCCCAGATACATTTCAAAATGGCTCTGAACCCCCACTCTTGTCCTGACTGGTTGCAATCAGGCACAAGAAAAAAGATTTCAAGTGTAATCGTAGCCCATCTTGCGGATACTGGGCATCAGGTTGGCAATGACGCATTTTGAATCATCTACAGGGTGCCACCAAACCCTTCGAAAGCCGCCCGTCAACGTCATCTCGCAACAGCCGAAGCCGTGGCTATTCGATTATTAAACCCATTGTTTTGTTCTCAAAGCGATTCGTACAATCACTCAGAATGCCTTGGCCACAACGTGACACACCCCCGAGATAGATATGACCTCTCCCATGACCCCGCGATCCTAACGCTTGATAACACGTTCACATCCTAATTTTTTTCCCAACCTTGTTACGATCACACCCTCCCATCCCACCCTCTCCCAACCACACACCAAAAGCAATCACAAACTATGAATCACACATAGCCATTGACGAACATTTTAATTTTAATTTGACTATATAACTGTATTAGCCCAAAGGAGAAGTTGTCGAACACTAGCTTGCTCGCTAAAACCACCGTTTTCTGTCCATATGCATAGTCAAAAAACAAAGGACAGCTAGTCAAATTCAAACAAGCATTCACCACTGAATTCCACGCGAAAGGCCCTTCTGTCTCACATTTTCACACCCGTCTTATTTAATCATCCATATCGTACATTTACTTTGCTTTTCAACAACATCAACATCAGCTTAAACCTTGCATTAATCCACTGACTAATCGAACTGTATATATGCAGATACCTGAACTGATATACCAAAAAGAACTTTCTTCGTGTTTCTACTTTATTCCTTTTATGGCTACTTTTATTGTTCGTTGATTACTGCAAAGCACAAATGAGGCCTTGAAAGCATCTCTAGACAGTAAAACAATGAAAACATGAGGAAAAAGTCACATTTACTTACCAATGATGCCTGAATAACAAAAGTTTCTGTTCTGTTAAACCAATTGCCATTCTGATTTAAAGTTACCAGTACGGTTGCTGTTGTTGCCACTGAACCTGTACTGACAACAGGAATTAAATAATTGACATGATGAAGCCCCTCAGGCGCTGGAATGGAATTGATCGGAGTAGTATCTGTAAAGGGAGAACAAATACACATAATTGGAACGCAAATAGTTGTTTCGGGTGCGCATGATAGATAAAATAACTATGACGAGGGCAATGGAAGAGGAAATGTATCTCCTGAGTCCATGGAACGTAATGAAGAAATGAGGTATGATCAACAAAGCCTTAAGTTATCGTGTCTTCCGTATTGTGTTGTATTGTGTTGTCTTTTCTTCTGCAAGCATGAAGCCCACTATTCAGTTAAAAAATATACAGTTTGGTGCAAGGGAGAAAATGAAAACAACAATGAAAAAAGAGATTTAAGTTCCAAAACTGTTAACAGATTCCGTGAAAACCTGTTCTTTGTTAACAAGAATACGTGCTAATGAGGGTACTGTGAAGTTATATTAAATGTTTATTCTCGAGGGAACACAACGAGATCATGATCTAGTTGAGGGATAGGTATACATTAAAGTTAGTGTATTATGGGCACACAAATGGCTTCAATTTGTAAACCGTTTATGACCAAAGTACGAAAGTTATCTTTAGCACTGGCAGTCACACGACTCTGCTGAACCGAAATGAGAACAATACGTGGGACTATATCGTGACCAGATTTGATGGCATCTGTATGATGTATGTTGAACTTGGATTGTATACGATGATTTGAAACATATTTTTCGAAAACAGTCATAATCAAATCAAGGGGCACTCGATCACAAAATCCTCAACACACTCCCGTGCAACGAAAGTAAGCGTGAAAGTGAATGAGGATTGCTCATGAGAACACCCGACACAAGAACACTCAAAAGTGGTGGTTCGGAGGTGGTTTATAGCTTCCACAGAATCGCATTGCGCAGAATATCGTGTGAAAGGGACTTAGGAGTTATGGTGAAGTCGTCACTGAAGACCTGAGATAGGACTGATAGGGTCTGCGCCAATGCTTGGAGCAGTCTGAGACCCGTTCGGAGACCTTTCAGTCGGCTTACGATAGACGCTTCTAGACTACTGTGCGCTTCGTAGATCAGACTGAGACTTGAGTGTGGTAGCGCCACAACATACCCGTGCACAATCGGTGAACTGGCTGTTTGAGCGTGTACAATGTGCTGTCGCTAGACTCCTTTTCGAACTATAGTCGATCAGCTGTGAAAGCCACCTACAGGCCACTGGTCTACTTCCAGCTGGGTTTCGGAGCATCATAGGAGAACTCGTCTGCCTGAGGAAGATTCTGAGGGGTGATATAGGCCAGGAGTTGCAGCAGCATTTTCCACTACAGACAGACGAACGCACGCCAGGGCACTCTCTCCCGTTACGTAAACTTCAGTCGATTAGTCTTCTGTTAGCCAACTGATTGTTCCAGAGGTAAACGACAATCTAAAATTTCTTTCTTGCGACGATGGTGGAGGAGACGACCAACGCTGCTTTCAAATATCATCTGGATGAGCACCTCAATGGGCAAATGGAGGGATAATCACATGTGATGGGACTTTCGACCAAGTGGTGACAGGGCTTACACGGGTATCCTGCACAGTGCCCTCAATACTGAAGACTGGCTAAAGTGAACAGTGTCTCAAAGTAATGCAGCTCACAAACTCAATCGGGAATAAGATAACAATACCACATCCACAGCGCACTTTCCCAGTTTGATAGATTCAAGACTTAACCAGCAAACCCGTGCTGAGAAAGTTCGTTCGGGGCCCGCAACAAGATCGCACAGCTAGGAAGTGCTATATTGTGTAAATGGAAAATGAAAAACGGTCTGATCAGCTGCCCGGTGACCGAGTGGGAAGCATACTTTCGTTCTGCCAGTGAGGTCCCGGGTTGGATCCCCAGTTGGGTCGACGGATTCGCACTGCTGATGAGACCCCAGCAGCTCGGAACAGCTGTCCAGTGATTCCTAGCTTTTAGTTCACGCTTCATTTGCGACGAATCTCCCCTTTGAAAGTTCGTTTTCTTCCTTCAAGCCCAAGGCATACGTAGTTTATCGTGGTAGTTCTGTGGGCATCTCTCAATCCTCTTTATTCACTGAAGGAATTTTATGTACCTGGAGGAAACACATCCATATCAAGAACGAGAATAGCATAGCGCAGCAAAATAAATAGTCCACTAACCTTCATAGAATATATTTGCCAACTGCAATGTCAGGGAATTTGATTGCGGTAAACTGGTTGAGGTGGACAATCCGATGTAGGGATCATGGGTTGAGTGTCTAGGAGTGCAAAATGCAAGACTCGATGGTAGTTGAGGTGTAGAAAAACTAAGACTATAGTTGGACGGTGAGCTCTGGATAGTGATCACGCGCGTCAAAAGGATATTCAGTCCGGGCGTGAATGATGACTGGTTTCCGAAATTGGCAGCAATAGTCTTCAGAGACGGAGTCTGAGTGTTCAGAAAGATAGACGAAGGGAGTCTGATGAGTTTAACCCTATGTGTGGGAAATGGTTTCGTTCTAATTCTGTCAAGTAGTACAGTAATTGTTTTTTTACCACTTTACATTTTTCCCCGCATGGGGTCACCATACACCATTGAATGAAATCCTGTAAGATTGATAATAACCAAACCTTAAGTCGGGAATTAGCAAAATTTTACGTTGGAATACCTTCAATTAGTTATTAATCAATCTACTAAATCGAATGAACTGTAAGCAGGTCGGAAATCGGAATCGTCCAGCCAGTATTTGTGCACGCAAACTATTAGCTCTACTACTTGTCTACTGCCCCAAGTCTCATCTGACTCTCATGATGAGCACATTTTTGAAATTTGACATAAAACCGCAGCAACATACTGGTAGATGGATATCTGAATATGTGTGAAAATATAATTAATAACGAATTGCGTGGCGAACACTCACTGCTGTGGGACTGAAAACGACCAAAGCAATCGGCCATGTTGCAGTTCGGGTTACAGTCAGGCCATTCGCCGCAAGTGCTCCGGTGGCACTAAGTGTTGATCCGGATGATTGGATGACGCAATAAACTCCCATTGTTCGACTACTCGTGATCGAAGGGCACCTCAGGAAGACTGATAACAGGTTCAAGCTCATCTGGTTTCTTTCAACAGTAAATCAGGAAAAGAAAAGATAAAAATGTGTTACAACCGAATTCAGTTAGCTTGGACTTCATCAAATCAAGTGCACGTCGAGTAGATTACTCGTATAAAAAAATATGCATTCCATTCATCGTTAACCATAAAACATGTATTTTTATAACCAATTTCAGCAATGGGGGTGTGGCAGATCTGGGTCGCTTGGAAAAATACATAAACGGTGACCAGTTGGCCTCTCGTTCAATGATCTTAGCTACTTTACAAGTGCCACCTACGTCATTAGAGTCGCTACTCCTGCCCTCACAAAAATCAGAGTTAAGGATGACACGAAATCGAACGAGAACAGCTTTTTGTGTAACACGTTAACAAGAATTGGTTATACCGAGAAATTTAGTGACAAGCAAAGTAGATTGAAGATTGTAAGGCCTATTGTTGTGTCAGCGTTTAGATTGCAAATCAAAATTTGTCTCCCATTCAAAGGTGCTGAGGTCACTAATATAATCCATCAACGGTTACGATCGGTTGTCAACCGGACCTATTATGCAGCCAAACCCACTTGAAATAAGTAGCCAGGTTGTGAATGTTTCCAATCGAGTCATAACCCGGAGGCTGGTGCTGAGATGAACAGGGTTTGTGGCCCGCAACGAGCTCGCAAAGATGGGTTGTGCTATATTTTGTAAATGGAAAATGAAAAACGGTCTGATCAGCTGCCCAGTGGCGTAGTGGGTTGCATTCTCGCGTTCTGCCTATGAAGTATCGGGTTCGATTCCCAGTAGGGTCGATGGACTCGCACTGCTGATGAGACCTGGCCAGGTTAAAACAGCTGTCTACTGCTTCCTAGCTTTTCAGTTCACGCTTCATTTAACATATACACGACGAATGCCCCCTTTGAAGACCACATCTTCAAGCTACCGATGATACCCTGATGTGCTTTACTGAGCAACTTGGTTAATTTTTGAACTACGGCAAATATATCTTCATTTGAGGCACGTGATAGTTATTGATGTCCGAGGAGACATGAAAACTAATTTTTGTGGTTCATCAATATGACCGTCCATTTCCTTGCACGGAATTCACTGTCATTTTTTAACCACCATTGGTGACCTGGTTAGTTACTGTATTACCAGTGAGTCCTTAGGTTTCACCGCAGTATTCGTGATTTTGATGTCTGTCGCAAACAGGATTGTTTGCGGTCCTAAAAATAAACTAGGTAGATTATAAAGGGCTAAATACAATGCCCAAGCGTGGACCTTGGTGACCCTGGTTTTGACTGGATCCTGACTGTAAATCAGAATATCCAGCTGTCACGATTATCATTTGAAGAAACTATGTGATTCAAGTGAGCACTTGGTTTTGGATTTCATACCTGTATTGTCTCTACAGACGTATTTCGTGATCCACACGATCAACTGCATTAAAATGTCCCCGTTTTGTTAGTGCGTTTAGTGCTTTACTCTGGTTACATGTTTTTGTCCATTCTTGTTCAGCTAAAATTCGATTGGTGGTACATGTCTGTTTGTGCATAAACCTTCTTGGGGATAGTAAGAATTTCTCTGTTTTTTTCGTATGATTATCCTTCACAGAGCCTAAAATAATAGATTACTTGAATTTTAAAATGCTGGAAGAAACGTTCCAGGTAATTTTCCAAATGCTTGAAGTTACCCTGTCTTATAATTGTTGAGACAGTTTTTCATCACACTTTTGAGTCACTCGCCTAATGATTCAACTCTTTGGCTTACCAGAACTACAATTGTTTGTGAATTTGTGTAACTTGTGAGTGAGTTTGTTCACAAGCGCATAATTGTGGGCCATACAAACAACCGGTCTATCAAACCAGCTGCATGGAACACCAACATCGTTAGTCGCTCGCCATCTGCAGCCAACTCCCTACCCACCCGACTGTGAGGCCTCGTATCTGAGCATGTGCACAACTCCGAAAGTACGGCTGCTAATATTTTCAGAAACCATGGCAATTAAGCGCCAGAAGCCCTACTGTGCCATATATATATATATATATGTTTGATTTCAGATTCTGCACCCAAGCAATCACAGTAAATATTCGCGATAACAACCGCTCATGACTCGCTTGAGTGCGTGATACTTCTTGGTTTTCCTGTACACCATAAGTGAATTTTCTGGGGGGGGGGGTTATGACCCTGACCTTCCGCTAGCCAAAGCCTGACCAGCTGCTCAGAGATCCGGATCTTGAGTTTTCGTCCTCTCAGTTTGGTGAGTGATCACCTTCACTGATGTTTTAGCATAAGGAGGTTTACATCAGCCTGACACTGATGTGGCAAGGACTTAAGCAGATTCGGACATCAGTTTCTGCACCAATTTTATTTGGTTAACCAAATTATATTCCTCAGCCGCATTGATTGAGTGGTTCCGCAGTAAACTGTAAACGTCTTATGTGCATTTACTAGGAGAGTGTTTGTTTTCTTCAGCTTCGGGATAAATTAATCTGCCAAGTTCTCTTCTTCGATCGTCTGTCAATCGGTGATTATCGGACGCATTATTAAGTAATGCATTTGATTTTCTTCGTAACTTTCACCAGGCCTGCAAAGTGATTTATAAGTTTTTTGCCAGGATACCAATAATAGTTAGAAACATCCCGTGGGATGTGGTTCCAGAATTGTACGATATTTGTAGCCAACAAACAAGTTTTGCCTGTTGAACTCCGTGGCAAAGATAACTAACAGCTGCAATCAAATTCCAATTTTTATTTTGGGTAAATCAAAGAGCTGATGCTCATTGAATCCAATAGGATCTGTACACGCTGGGTTCGGTTGGTTCAGTTTTTACAACCATTAACCATGCGATTTCATGCGCCTATTTTGGTTGATGTCTTTTAATGCCTCATTTGGATGAAGATTGGAATGTTGAAAGTAAATTCAAGCGGAAGATGGAGAATTAATATAGAATGGTGTTAGGGGAATAATGAGTGGATGCACGAGCACCACCGTCTGCGACACCCAGCCATATCGCCCAGTCAGTCCGAATCAGATGCAATCCTTCTCTTGGCCGGACACTAGGAGTCAGTAAGGGGAATTAACAAAGGCAATTTTCATGCGTACAAATACATTATGCAGTCTTTCGCCTTTTCATCCGCCGAACATTGTTGTTGCTATGACCCCATCGGAAATAGCCAGGTTGTGTCAGATGTCATTTATTTATTACAAACCTAAGTGTGATGAACAACGGAGGGGGCGAAAACAATAGTCACGAGGACTCGCTGTTCAGTGGTGAAAACCGGTGATCTAAGTCTTGAGACTTGTAGTGGCGAACCACATAAGGCCTCGATAGGTTAGACGTGGTATTGAACCGGACACCATCAGAGCTGCCTACCATCAAAGTCGGGTGGTGGTGGCGGGGCTCGAACCTCGGACCATAGGGTCCAAGGCACACCGGTGACAGCGACTAAACTACTGCGCCACCACCACCCTTTGCGCTATGTGCTATGAATATGTGCAAAAATGCCTTCAACTACTAACCGGACATCCGCTCATTGGGACGACCGGGGTTTGCTCAGTGGTCGCTTGGATCCTGATTCCAGGGTCGCCCTATCTCATACTTATTCATTCTTTCTCTAGTGCTCAATGTGTTGTAGATATAGTACCGTTGTTGCGCTTCAAATAACTTAGACCAAAATTATGGTATTCCGACTTGAAAAATTAAGTGCACTTCAAATGGTTTCCATGATTTAAGAACTAGAGCGGCATCTGACAACGGGATCTGTAATATGTTGAATCACCTTCTGGATACAGTTGTACCATCCGGTAGAATCAGGATCACCGCGGCATGACTACGAAAAATTGCACAACCCAGATAGTTGTAAGAATTCATACCGGAGGAACA